CATATATAATAAATAGAAGCAGAGTAAGAAAAGAAACAGAGCATCATCCAGAGAGCCATGGGTTGCGACGGCCATGGCAATCTCAGCGACGCAGAGCTGAGCAAGCCTTTGCCTTGGATAGGTCTCTACGTCGCTGCTGCTTCCCTCATCTGTGGACTTTCCATGTTTGCCGATCTTCTTCGCGGCTTCCGCCACCGCAAGTTCTGGTTCCCCAACAATTCCTTCTCTCTCAACGCCACCTCTCTCACCTTCATCTCCGTCTGCGTCAAACTCTCCGTCGACCTCAACACGTCCATGCCCAGTCGCCAGGACCAGCTCGCTAAACTCAGCAGCAACGTCTTCGTCTGCACCGTCATGGCCAACTCCATGCCTTCTCTTGGCCACATGCTCACTCAAGACCTCCTCATAAACCTCGTGGCTCTTGGGATTCTCGTCGTCACCGATCTTGTCAACATCTGTATCCAGCTGGGTACAGGAGCCATCTACGTTTTCCCTCAAGAACACGCTTTCGTCATCGTTCTAACGCTTCTCATGTTTATCATCTTGAGCTTCTCTGCTATCACTGTCCCCACCACAAAGCGTTTCTTAGAGTTGAGGTACAAGAAGAAGTACGAGCTCGCTTTGAAGCAGTGTCCTAGTTCTTATGCAGAGAGAAGAGGAGGTGTTTCTGAGCTTAAAGAAGATCTCATGAAGTTCTGGATGATGGCTCACACCTCTAGCCCCCAGTTCGTGATGGCTCGCTCTGTCACTTGCACCACCTCTGGATTCCTCTGTTTTCTCAGTGCCGTTACCTTAGCTGAAGCCATGCTCCGGTCTTACTTTCTAACACCCGGGTCACTTGGGTTCTGCAATGGAGACTCCGATTACAAATGGTCAACCACTTTGGTTCTAGTCTCCCAATCAGCTGCGGTAGCCATAGGGACGGTTGCTCCGGCGAGCAGATGGTTTAGTGCGGTGAGGTTGAGGTGTCCATCAGGAGCAGATAAATCTTTGAAAGATGAGTTGAGAGTAGAGAGTTACTGGGTGGAGTGTCTCTCAGCCAAGAAAGAACGTCCCTTGAAGATTTGGATGTTCCATGGTCGCCGCAGCAGGAAGCTTGCACACGACTTAAACCGATGCATACTTGATCTCTGCATGGCAACACAGTATGGTATAGTGTTGGTAAGCAAGTTTCTCCGCTTCATCGCGGTCTACTGTGTGAGTAGGATTTTGCTTTGTTGCTGTTTCACATTGAGAAGAACAAGCTGGATAGCAAACGCTGAGTCTTCGGGATCAAATCCATCAACGAGACAATTTGTTCTGCATCTTGAAGGAGAGGAAGAGCTGGTTGATTATATGGCACGGAGCAACCGCGAGGCCACAAACCACTTGATACAAAAGGGTAGGAAGAAACAACCCTTAAGCTTGATAGAGCTCTTGGAGGCAACAAATCCCATCTCAAAAGGATTTGAAGGGATTAGAGATTTCGACAGCGACGAGGTGGCTTCTCTGACCTCTGGAGAGCCACCTAATTGCTGGGCTCTTCCACTGGTAACACTGGCGAGTATCGCTGTTTCACTTCCTAACGTCAAGGCTTGCTCGGTGAAGAAGCTAGTGAAGGCTGTAAACGAGGCATTGGTGTATATAAACAAGTTTGAAGATGTCTTAGACATTGGAGGAGAGTTAGCTAACAGCAGAAAAGCCGCGGAGGTAGTCTGGTTAGGGGTTGATCTCTACCATAAGTGGCTCAACGTGGATCTCCGAAAGCTATCGAGGCAACAGAGAACAAAACCACAAGAAGTGTTTAAAGAGCTGGCGGATATGGCGAAGAAAGAGTTTAGCGAGTCGTGGGAGAAGAACATGATAAAGCATAAGCCGTCGGGCTGGCCCATCAAGACTCTGGCAGCAAACTCGATGTACAGAACCAGCCAAACCCTTTGGAACAAGTACGAAGCAAGAGAGATTGGAAGAGAGGAGGAGACGCTGTTGAAAGAGGTGGAGAGGATGGTATCGGACATAATAGCAGGGTGCTTTTGCAACACGGCGAGAGTGGTAGGAATGAAGTGTTTGGTGACGGCTGTGGAAGTGAGGGAAGCGTCGGTGAGAGAGGCGGCAATGCATCTGGGGAGAACAGAGAAGATACTTGAGATCGTGGACAGGAGAAGCATGCCTGAAATGTCACACCAGAAAGTGGCAAACATTGATGGATGGAGAGAGTTTTATAGGAACAACAAATGCATCCCTTTCACTGCACATCCTTCGTCTCAGTGTACCACTGGTCAGCTCATTCTCACCATAGAGTAGTACTAGTAACAGTTGCAAGCTTGTATCAAAGTTAATAAGCTTTGTTTGTCTGTTGATGAAAAAGTCAATCCTTGAAGTGGATGGATATGTTGAAGAATAGCACAAGAAAGAAAGAGTAATAATAGAAAAGGTAGTTTGTTGCTTTTGATTTTAAATAGTAAAGAAAGAGCCAGTGGGAATGGTGGATTCTTGAAAATGGCAAAACCAAAGAAAGACTCAAACAGTGGGCAGCTTCCTGTTTCCGACCAAAAGACTATTCAAAATTCGAAATTGTAAGAGTCTCTCGGAGGATATTCTTCTTCATTTCTCCTATAAGTACACATTGTCGCTAATACCAAAATCACACAAGAAAGAAAGAAGAAGAAGAAAAAACGGAATCACCAAATCGCTCTGTAATAATGGAGCATACCGCATCAAGTTCATCGTTGGGTCCGGGTGGGCTGGATCTGACCAGCGCCTTTTTCAAGCCCATCCACAACTCCGATCCTCCTCTCCATTCCAACCGCTGCACCAAGGTCTCCGTCGTCGGCGTCGGCAACGTCGGTATGGCCATCGCTCAGACCATCCTCACTCAGGATCTCGCTGACGAAATCGCCCTCGTCGACTCCAAACCCGATAAACTCCGAGGCGAGATGCTCGACCTCCAGCACGCCGCCGCTTTCCTCCCCCGCACCAGGATCTCCGCTTCCGTCGACTACAGCGTCACCGCCGGATCCGATCTCTGCATCGTCACCGCCGGAGCCAGGCAGAACCCAGGCGAGTCGAGGCTCAATCTGCTTCAGAGGAACGTGTCTCTCTTCCGCCACATCATCCCTCCACTCGCCAAGGCCTCTCCCGATTCAATCTTGATCATCGTCTCCAATCCCGTCGATGTCTTGACCTACGTCGCCTGGAAACTCTCTGGTTTCCCCGTTAATCGAGTGCTTGGCTCCGGTACCAATCTCGACTCCTCCCGCTTCCGATTCTTAATCGCAGACCATCTCGACGTCAATGCTCAGGATGTGCAGGTCAGTTACTTTGGGATTTTTATGATTTTCCCAACCCACAAGAACAAAAAAAAAATGCAACTTTTTTTTTATCTCTTGGGTGTTTGATTGGTTGTTGCAGGCATTCATTGTTGGGGAGCACGGAGACAGCTCGGTGGCATTGTGGTCGAGCATAAGTGTTGGAGGCATCCCTGTTTTAAGCTTCTTGGAGAAGAACCAGATTGCTTACGAGAAACAAACACTCGAGCAAATCCACCAAAGCGTCGTTGGGAGCGCATATGAAGTCATTGGACTAAAGGGTTACACTTCTTGGGCCATTGGTTACTCCGTGGCTAACTTGGCTCGCTCCATTATCCGTGACCAGCGCAAGATCCATCCGGTCACGGTCCTTGCTCGTGGCTTCTATGGTGTGGAAGGAGGTGACGTTTTCCTAAGCCTACCGGCTTTGCTTGGACGCAATGGAGTGGTCGCTGTGACCAATGTGCATATGACAGATGAAGAGGCCGAGAAGCTGCAGAAGTCGGCAAAGACGATATTGGAGATGCAGAGCCAATTGGGACTTTGAGATTTTGTTGTTATGATCATCCCACGGATGCTATGTTGTTGGTCTCCTCTGTGTGTTTTTTTATGTAAAATGGAGAATGAATGAATGATCCCTCAACTTTGAGTTGAGTTGCTTCGAAATAATGCTTAACAACACAAAGGATGATTCATTCATAAGCTTTGTATTTATCTGATGATATAGC